TCGAGTAGTCGCATTAAATTTAACTTTTCAGACCAGCTCAAATTGGGCCCAAAGAAGGAATTTGTTTTATTTTATTTTATTTTTTGGGTGTCGGGTGAGTGGGGGATGAATGACCTATACATCTTTGAGCAATTTTCTTTGTTTTGAATTCTCGAGAATTCAATTCTAAGTGTGTTTGCCCCTGGTTTGGCTCCCATTTTTATTTTTATTTTTTTTTCTTTTTCTTATTTTTAACAACATAATCTTTCATAAAATAATATTATACGCAAATATAAAAAATTTCATTCTTTTTCAACCACATATTTTTCAAAAAAATACTATTTCAACCATAAAATTTGGCAAGAATATGGTTGATTACATTTATTTTCCATAAAAATATCAGTTTTCCACCCAAATTCCTATTTGGGGTGTTTGATTGCTATTTTTTTTCCATGGAAACATTTTCCAACTTTGAAAAATATGCCTAATTTTCCTTGGGTGGATGTGATTTTTGTTTTCCTCAAAAGAAAGAAAATATTTTTTTTCTAGATAATATTTTCTATATCAATCAAACACACTCTAAATATTATTTCAAAATAGTTGTAATATAAAATTTATTTGTCGATGATGGTATTTTACACAATATTAGGTACCCTCGCATCCACCGTTTTTCTCTTCTTCTCCTTCTTTTTTTTTTCCCTGTTAATGCAATTAAATACAAAAATAAGGAATTTCACCTCAAATAAGCTTGTTTGAGCTATATTATTTAAAAAAAATATATACATTCTTCAACAGTGATTCGACATAATTTCAATCACACATTCTTTAATAAAATAATATTACACGCAAATCTAAAAAAATGTCTTATTTTTTAACCACACATTTCTCATTGATTTAACATGAAAAATGCATTTTTTTCCTAAAATGGGGCTCAAACATGAGCTAAAATGACAATAGAATTAAACTGTCTTCTTCCTTGATTTCCAAGAATTAGGCCAATTATTTAGTTAACATAATTGTCGAAACGAGTAGTGTACGTAAGATATTATCATTGATATATCGAGTGAAATGGTGGCTCATTTGAAAATAAATATGGAAATCTATTTATTATCTTGAGCTTTAAATGGATCAAATTTTTTGTTTAAACTTTAAATAGAATAAAGTCTTTGTTTGAAATTCCTTTAAAACTTGCGTACAAGCACACACATAAGTTTATTTGTCGATGTTGGTATTGTACACAATATTAGGTATGACTTTTTTATTTTTATTTTTAATTGTTACTCCAGTTAAATACAAAATATTGTATGCAAAATTAAGATATTTCACCTCAAATAAAATGACAATAGAATTAAACTTTGTCTCTGTCCTTGTTTTCCTTCAAAGAATCAAATCAATTATGAAGGTTGAACCCCAACCTCGGGGCCCCTACCGCCCCGTCCTTAGAGTTTTATAAGGGAGGAAAATTACGAAATGTGTCTCAATAAGCCAGAAAATAAAAGCTGTCTGTACATTACGCCTATAAGGAGTTCAATTCCATGTCTCAAAAATCGCACCCCCACACTGCGGAATCAAATCAATTATGTATGCTATACTTAATTGTCGATACTTAAAAGCAATAGTTCAAGCGAGATACTATCGTTGATACAAAGTCTTCGTTTGAAATTACTTTATTACATGCACATGCGCGCACATATACATATATAAATGATCTTCTAAGTGCAATATCTTGATTTACGCTAAACACCGATAACGTGACTTCTTAAGTCTTCCAAATTGACACTTTCGAAAATCGAAGAAATTTTCCAGAGATGGATAAGCATCCAATAAACAAGAAGCACTACAACAAAGACTAAAAAGAAATAATGATGGTGACTTTTTGCACCATTGAAATTGCAAAAGAAAAGGCCAAAAAGTAACAGAAATAAGTAACTTAATCTCATGACATGATATGTCCACATAATACGATATAGGGTTCAATTTGGCCATTCAAATTACATAAAAGGCATCTTCTTCTAATTAAAAATAAAAATAAAATAGGAAAACGAACAAAACAATTGCTCAATGACAATGGATTCCTTGTGCATCACTAAAGAAGTCCAACATTTCCCTGTTCATATGGGGCCTAACGATGAGACCTATGATATGAATATGTTAATTATTTTGTTTCTATCGTGAATACGTTAAAATTTTACTTGTTCTCGTACCATATTCTTATATTGTATTATCTTGCATTATTTACTTTTTAAAAAAAAATATATTATATCATTGTATCATAACATTGTTTGTGTCGCATAGTTTTTTACAATTTCTATATGTTCCCAATTATCTAAGAGCCAAAAGTTATTAAAGAGATGATGTAATTGAAAATTGACAAGAAACTATAGCTAGATATAGAATACGATTGATTTTAGTTAGACAGTCATCAGTAGCTCCAAATTCTTGAACGCAACGCAATAAGGTTAAGACAAAAATATTCATATTTAATTGTATGACAAGTATGAAAGCAAGGATAAGCTAATCATAAAATTAAGGTTGAGCTTTCCGTGTCCGGGCTTGCGTCCGACTAGATCCTTGTCCCTGAACCTCCGGCCCCTCAGCAGCTCAGGGAGGTAAATCGCAGGATGTGCCCTTGTTGGCTCCCAGGTTCCCACAACTCATTTGGACTCCTTCCGCAAAGAGAGCTCTCCTCGCTGGGCGTTTGTTCAACCAAATGGCTTCCCCTCCATTTTAGCACCCAGTGTTAACTCCAGGAATCGAACTCTCCACCCTTGCTTCCAGCGTCCCAGCGAAGTGATTGTTCCACCAACTCAGATGTGCCCTGGGGGGCCAGAAATATTCATATTTAATTGTATGACAAGTATGAAAGCATGGATGGCAAAAGTAAATCATAAAATTAAGGTTGAGCTTTCCAACTTTCGATTTTATATGATTATAGGCCCGAGGTTTCGAGTTTTAAATCTATATAAATATTTGAGTTTGTGTCTTCACGTGACCAAAATCTTCAAATAGACGTTAAAACTGTTTGTGAGTTTCACATGAATGACACCTAGAGGGTACAAAAACTCCAAAACTAAGAAATTTATCTTCAATTCAACTAAAAATCATATGCGATTCTAAATTTCAAATTGACAATATTTGTCACCTTGGGACTCAAATTTACATATTTCAATAAATTGAAGATCCAAAACCTTATTTTGAAAGTCTAGCCCAAATTTATAAAATTTATCCATAACTAACTGCCGCGAATAAATTTTTTAGTGATTTTTTGTTCTAGCACGTATGTTGCAAGTGATCGCTCGATAATGATTAGTCCAATAGTGTGAAAGCACAAGAATTAGAGAATCTGCTATTGTTTAAAATAATTTGAAAAATAAAATGGTTTTGAGTCCTAATTTATAGTATATAAATATGTCGTGTGAAAATCTATTTCATTCCTGGCCAAGTCCTAGATTCTGGTTGCATGCTTCACGCCTTCTACGGTGTCTATTTTAGGTTGCAAGAATAAACCAATATGCACGTCATGTCGATTACATTTTAAATTGAAACAATTTATATTTTATCTTCTACATACCCTTTCATATCGAATTTATTTTTTAGAATGCTAGGTTAAATCTTTAATTAATTAATGGTACGAGTTTAAACAAACATCTTGTTTGAATATATAAATGATTGCGGAAAAGACGATAATTATTTTCAATGAGGTAGTGACAATGATGTAAAAAGATCATATCTTTAGAACATTGAATCATTTGTCGATAAAATAATAATATAGTTATAAATAGTGACAACATCTTCATGAAAAGCTGAAATACAAAAATCTCGAAAACCACAAGAAAGGATATATTTGCCACACTTTAAATTGAAAATAATAGTTTCAAAAAACATTTATTAGCTTCTTCATTTTTTTCTTACAAGTTTTAACTTTTAAGCAAGAAAGTAATCTTTCTTTCAATTTTACTTATCATAGAGTTGATAAATTGAACAAATTTGGTTGTGCTTATATGTAAACATAATTTTAAATTATTTAATTTTTTTAAAATATGATTTTTATCATTTTTCTTTACTAACAAAATTTACATTTCAAAAACTAAATATTATTCACCTTTTCAAAAAGGTAATTTTTAAAAAATGCCAATATGTTCATGTTCTTTAATTCAAATTTATTTCTTCTATTCGATATATATACTTTATACAAATAGGATTACAAGTTTTCTCTTTGCTGCAAACACTGTCTTGACTTAAAACGGTTCCAAATATTTTCATGTAGCACCAATCGTGGTAAAACATATATTACATTTGTGGGCACCAGTATACGGGCAAATTCTTGTTCCCTGATCTGTTGGGGCACATCCTGCGATTTACTTCTCTCACGATGTTTCAGGGACGAGACGATGGGGGCCCTCAAAGTTGGGGTTCAATTTTTATTTTTTTTTAATATTACATTTGCCCTGATTATTTTACTTAAACCTAAGGGTACACGTAATATATACAAGAAAAATTTCGAAAGGTTTCATTCTAAATTATCTCAGTTTCGATAAAAATAAACAGTAATATATTTAGTAATGCAGAAAAGAAAATGCAACGTAGAAATCCATACAAGAAGAACATTTTCCCAAGTGAAATTTTTGATATCATGTAGCAAGTAGTTTGGTGATAATAGGGTTCATAAAAATATGAGACGGTCCAAAAAATACTCAGAGTCAGTTTGATTCTCATTTTTCTAAGAATGAAAATGAAAAATGTAGTCGTTACGAAACTCACACAAGAGATAGAAAGCAAAATATGGTGGTTTGATGTGATGGATAACGGTCATATTTTTCATTTTTGTGGACAAAGAATGAGAATCAAATGGGGCTTCAATCATAATTTTTTCTTTTTCGCCACACAGGAGTTTCGTTTTCTTGGAAGGAAAAAAAAAAAATTAATCAATAAAAATCGAAGGACCAATTAAATAAAGCAGCAAGTTTCACCCCTCCCCTTGTCCAGACGTGGCCCCACAAGTGCCATTAAATAGCCACCCTTAGAGGGAAAGAATTCATCACCTCAATAGTGCTCTCTCTCAACACTTCAATTTTCTTTAAAGAAGAATTGTTACAACCTTGTAATATTACCTCATAGTGTCGACATGGTTTGTCTCAAGGATCCATTGGTTAAAAAAATCTGTGAGTTTTACGAGAAAATTTCTAGGCTAGACAGCCTCGAACCCTCCGAAGATGTCAACACGCTGCTCACAGAGCTCGTTCTCACGTGCATGCCACCGTATCAAATTGATTGCACAAAATTGTGCAAGAAAATTCAAGAAATTAGGTCCGAACTCATTAGACTTTGTGGAGAAGCAGAAGGGCTCCTTGAAAAACACTATTCAACTATCTTAGGATCATTTGATAATCCTATCGAGCATCTCGACATCTTTCCCTATTTCTCGAATTACCTTAAACTAAGCCTACTCGAATTCAACATCCTTAGCCAACACATCAAGGATGTCCCAAGTCGTGTTGCGTTCGTGGGATCAGGTCCCCTACCCCTTACCTCTATCGTATTGGCCTCGAATCACATGACTTCCACCACTTTCCACAACTACGACATCGACTCATCGGCCAATTCCATGGCGTCCCGCCTCATGAAATCCGATCTCGACTTATCCAAACGAATGATATTCCATACTACGGATATCATGAATGTTACAAGTGCTCTCAAGGACTATGACGTCGTTTTCTTGGCAGCCCTTGTTGGTATGAACAAGGATGAAAAGGTTCGAGTACTGGAGCATTTGAACAAACACATGGCTCCGGGGGCGCTTTTGATGCTTAGAAGCGCCCACGGCGCGCGTGCTTTTTTATATCCGGTCGTTGATCCTTGTGATCTCCAAGGATTCGAGGTTCTTTCAGTGTTTCATCCGACAGACGAGGTTATCAATTCTGTGGTCATTGCTCGTAAGTCTCCATTTTCTATGAATTCATCAATCGATCACGGATTTGGGCCATTAATGCTTTGCAGCAAATGTGCTGAGATTCAAGTTTTCAATCCCCTAAGCCAGATGACAATGATTGAGGAATTGGTAGCCGAGGAGCATCATTGTTGAAGAGTCTTCACTCTCTAGATCTCTTTCACTATATTTATATCTGACACAGAACTTAATTTGAATCCTTTCATTGTTTTCCATATATTGTTGCATGCTAATACACTAGCAAAATGAATGCATTTGTGATTTTTTTTTCTTTTGGGTTAATTTCAAGAAGGATTTTTTTCATAAGTATAGGGAAAACTTACAAAATTCATACAGAATTTTGAAATGGAAAAATCCTGTGTTTTATTTTTTTCTCATCTTTGAATGGTGTTTCAATAATTGTCTGTGAAAAATTTATTGTGCAAAAACCCTGTACTTGTAGCATAACTTTTTCAAGAAATACCACTACTCCTGACACTTGTTTCAAAACCCTCTCAAAATACATAGGAGTGCAGTATTATGCAGGTTAAAAGAGGAAGGTGTGGATCAAAACTATTACCTTGGTCGTTTATTTGTTGTGGTCAAAATCTATCAATCGCCAATTGTGGGAATACCGAAGCATCACTGCAATGCTGACAAAAAAAGAGTCATCTCGTATTTTAGTGCTCAAGTCAGTATTTGTATGACAATCATAAAACATTCAATGGCGGATACTTGTTATCCGAATGATCTTGTAGAGGTCTCTATTTATGATTAACGAAAGCCTTTTGATAAAGTCTTTCTTTAATTGAAGTAATACAATTTATTTTTATCATATTTAGCTTTTTATTTATTTATTTTTTTTTTTAAATTAGAGTCTATCTTCTCATATAAATGACATACTAAGCCGTGTATTTTTTCCACACGGTACAAACAAAACGAAGCACAAATTTTTTGTTTAATTTGTTCATTTTTAATTCCATTTGCATAAGCATAGCCTTTTGCAAGTAAGATAAAATCCTAGTTGCCAAAACAACTAGAATTTCATCACCATACGCAAGTGCAATCTACCTTTGACATCATTGTTCAAAACAAGAAATTAAAGGACAAAACGGCATCATTTGCTGTCACATTTATAGCCAACCGTCCAATATCAGATGACATAAGATTTGTATGGTTTAGTATATTTTAATAAACTAAAAGTTAAGCAATATGATCCTTTGTTTCTCATTCTTTCACCATTAAAATGAAAAATATGATCGTTATCTATTACATCAGGCCACTAAATTTGAATTTATATCTCTTATATGGAGTCCATAACAACTATATTTTTCATTCTCATTTTTACAAAAATGGAAAAATGAGCAAAAACTCATTTTCACTTCTTCATTTGTTGTTTAGAGTAAAGATCAGTTTCTTGGTTCTATGAAACAATGTTGAGACAAATTATTCCTTAGTACACTAAAGTTCAAGTATGTAGGTCCATTTTCAATTTGCAACTTACAATGGTTTTAGAATCATTATCAATATTTACGAGGAGACTCTTTGAGATGTATTTACATGATGTCTTGCGTTCTTTGTCAAATTATAACTTATTGGATTTATACAACGGTTATTTTTATTTTGGACTTGGCACAGTTCATTGTGATCTCATTTTTGTCCATACACTACATGGTCACCGTCAACCCATTAGTTAGACAAGTCATTCTCTTAATTTTTAGATCGCGTCGTGAGACGTACGTTGCAATTTCATTGCCACCACATTCCCATTTCATCAAATTATTCTCACTAATCCTTCGGTCACAAGGTGACTCAACCCATTTCACTTCTAGTTCAACGGCACAACAGGACTGTTCATCGACAATCCTCTATTATATCCATATGCATTTATTATACGCCCTCCAAGGCATATCACAGTGGTGCAAAGGATAAGGGTGATGTATACTCAACATTGTTGACAGTCGCAGTGTAAGAGTTTAATTCTTGAAACATGAATTGAGACTCTTTGTGAACACCAGTGTACATGCAGCTCTTGTTGCTTCAGGGACGAAACGATGGAGGACCCTTAAGGTTGAGGTTCAATTTTTTTTTTTTTTTTTTTTTTTATTAACATGCATCTATAATACAATGGGCCTAAGAAAGTATCAATGCGGACTCGAACAAAATATGGACAAGAAATACTAATGTAAAAGGAGGTTTTCGCCTGACAAAAGATAGAATGTGGCAACTTTTCTGTGTTCTGATACAATTTCTTGTCAAATTCAAATTAAGCACAGAATACGCTCATCCACGAGGAACCCTAACTGCACTAAATTAGGTTTTCTATTACGATCATAACAAAGAGACTTAAAAATCTATAATCGACACAAGGTTTTAGTTATCTATGACAACAAAGTGCTGCATTAGAGTCTCCCAGATAAATATTCACAACGTTTTAACGAACATGACAATTACATTAGAAACAAGTCGATAATGGCCGAACAAGCTGTTTTCAATTGTCCACACAGGATTTAATCTTTCATAAGATCAAATCTGGCGCACGGTCAAGTCCTTCAGTTACATTAAAGTTGCACAAACTATGCTATCATTTCAAAGGAAATAGAATGCATACTTTTTCACATATAGTAGTGTATTCAAGTGCCGATGTCTCCAGTCCCGCCTGCATCATCAAAGTACAAGGATTCTGCAATACCACCACTAACACCTTCTACCAGAGCAATTCTCATGTCTTCAGACGGTCTCCAGTGTCGCTTCCTTTGGTTTATGAACCAATTATTGATCTGCTTGTGGTCTAACTGAGTAATCTGTATTAGCCTATTTTTCTCCTCTTCCTGGAGAGTACAGAAAATAACATAAAAACTAGATGAAATTGCGAGACAACAAGAGTTCTCATTCGTGTGATGATATAACCTTGAAGAACTTTAAAGTATCTTCCGTTTGAAGTCCAGCATTAATTGTTCCCATTAGTAAAAGAAAAAAAGTCTCGTCTCAAAAACTGATACTTCGAAACATATTTTTCCACTCTGATTTACATGTAAATCAACGAGATTTCTTAAACAAAGCTGTCATGCGGGATTGAGATCCAAAACCCAACATGAATTTTGATTGACAGTAAAAAAACCGATTTGCTATTTAAGACCTAATTTTAACTTTATATCCTTCTCGGTACATTTTCTTACAACATTTTGTAATATATTTCATAATTTACGTGGACAAGCAACGAGAATTAGCTTATCGACTCCCAAAACAAAACTAAGCATCAGTATTGGCGTGATGCACTGAAAAAGTAACATTATCTACATATCTTGAAAAAGTTACCTGAGTGCTAAATTATTAACTTCACAGCCATCGTTTACGAGAACGAGAAGCTTGTGATGGTTATAATAGCAGTTAATCTATTCCTAGAAACTAATTCTTCTCTTTGCCAGTTGATGAACTCCATGCTCAGTTCTGAAACCTATTATGTTGAGTGCATCATCGACATGGATAATACACAAAGGGCCTGTCTAGTCCACATTATGGGACACTAGTGCACAGCTTTCCAAACATGGCAAAAATGAGATGAATTTAATATTACCGTGGGATATGGCCACCGGTAGTGTGTGTTCCACCAGTCAAGTAATGCAGTTCTTGCAGCCTTCGGCAATTTGCCTTTCTTCCTTTTCTTCAAGAATTCCTGTCTCAAATTGCTAAGATAGCCACTGTACTTGCGCATTAGCATTTCTTTGAGCTCCTGTTCTCCTTGACGGGCATCACTTGATTCTGGACTTTCAAATATTTCAAATTCTCCACAGCTCATTTCCCCATCCGACGCACCACCTGCATCATCTGATAACCAAAGATTGTAAATAGATAAGGATATGCAAAAATCACATTCATTTCAAATTGTATTGCATGAAAACTTCAATTAGAGTGGCGTGTCCATGACTCCAACACATGTCGTGTACCGATGCTCCTCGGACACTCTACCAAGATCATTATTCTTTCTTATCTGAAATATTGTATGTTTGTAACTCAAAGTTGTTATTAAATAACAAATGAATACTTTTATTTAAAATATTTCAACATGAAAAAAAAAATAACAAGTATAAAACTAAATTTATACTATATAAATGAATAATTTTAAAGAATTTAAGCGGCATGTCGTCGACGTCAATACTTTTTTTAAAAATCGCATATCAACGTGCTCGACACGTGTCGTGTGTCAATGCATCATAGATTTCAAATCAAGTGTCTATGCAAGTAAAGAAAAATATAACATTCTAATTAACGTCCCAATAGTAAGTTTATCCTTCTCTAGTTTCAAGCAAATATTGTTTTCCAAATAGTAGGTTCACCAATCTCCACTTTCAAGCAAGTATTGTCTAAAATAACACATGCACAAATATGATAAATGACTCAGATAGACATGCAAAGATGAATAAAGCAAATCCAAGTTCATTGATTCACAAAGAATATTTTCGAATTGGATTTACAAAAGTAGGAGAGAATCCATGGTTTCTTTATTGATGTGCAAAAACAACCAACCATACTTACAAGCTAGAAAAGTGTTCATAAATGACAATCACAAGGACACCTACAAGAATTAAGTAAACATCTTTATTTAATCAAAAGACAACTATTAATAAAATAAAAAACATTTAAACAGTAAAAAAAGGCATCAGCTGAGCCCTCCTTTGCCATGTTCCTCTTCTCCAAATATGATAGAGCCTCCTCCACAACATTAATAAATCCGTAAAGATGTATGTCATGGCAAGTCATTAAGAATTGTGGATTTTTGTACTTATAGTCAATTATGCCTAAACAATCATGATTTACTTGGGGATCGTAATTAAGTTAAAATTTCACTGTGCATCGCACTTATTGCATACAAAATCCCCTATTAACTCGTACTATTTTGATATAAATATAAACACTTGTCCTCTCCAATGGAAAGATCTATGTAATGGAGTTTACTGCAAAACATTCCTCAAGTTTTAAATCAATTCCCATGTTTGTACGGAACCCCTCTTTTTTTCATTCCTCTCTTCAAGCACACCTCATCTTTACCAGCTCATGCAGGAACGCCTATGCAAAATAAAACACCTAAACATATAAACTTGGACAACAAAAATATTCCATTTTTTCATCATGAATAACCTCATATTAATTGAGTATGGATTCATCCCTTAAATGCAAGTGTACAATTCTTACAACATTGGTTACAAGCATGACAATCTCAAAGAACAACTCGAATAGATCAAAACGCAGAAATTTTAAGTTTAGCAAAACCATGTTACATGTAAAGAGAGGTCACGGAATAAACCCTCAATGTACATTCCTCGTTCCTTCTCCTCATCACATAGCTCCATTCTGTAAAATGCTCACATCATGGATGAAACAATATGACAACAATTACCACTCATTACTTCCAATCTATCTTACACTTCTTTTGCGGCATATTCAAATATTAACGCTTAAAGAGGGGTCCTTATTTAGCACATAAACATGCTTGTGTAGCTTCATCACTTTACACTGATGTTTATATTATTGGCAGTCCTGAACTGGATAGTATAACAAACAAATTGTTATCCTTTTTCTTCCTAAATATTGTTTACTGCACAGTCCTCCGTATTAAACATTCCATGTGGGTTTTACAATTTAGGATAGAATAATTCTCTTCTATCATTTTATATTTGCGAAAGACTTCCACTTGTAAACATACTTGAACAACATATTAGTGGATGTTTCCAAGTCAACTCTAGAACATATTTAGTACATGAAGCTTTTGCTAGATTTTTCCTTTACTTGATAACATACTCCCATATATCTTTTATGCATAAATCCAGTAACTATAGAATTTGTTAATCACCATAAAGGTCTTAGTAATATGATTGAACATTCAAGTTCCGTCTAGGTAATCTTCTTGCTGCAAATTTTAGGAGAAAATAGATTGAGTTGAGGGATTCAAATGCATATGATTATTTCAGGCACATTTTTAACATGGGGGTGTTGGAACATTGGTCTGTCAAGATGGCTCAGCTTAGAGTAGCCAATTCAAGGCTCATTATTTTGTATATATGTTATCGTATATTTGCTAATACTGAAAGCAAAATTCAAAAGAAATTCTCATGAGATTAGATGCTCACCATGGAGTTTAGTCCTATGAAAACAAGGTTAAAAATCGAATTCTATCGACCAGGATAGCTGCACATTTTGTTGGTTTCAAAACACACAGATATATGACATGTTATAGTTTAAGAGAGGCATGTTTATTTGTCATGACAAGTTTATTTTATGATATTGAGGATACTTTTGATATTGGATCTGTTTGCATTTGTATATTGTCATGCTTATGATTGAGCACAAATCAAATATTCACATAACTACCTAAAGCTTAACAAGGCACAATTATGTATTCTTAAAAGTTACGAATCCTTCAAAGCACATGCATGCTTATGTTACGTGTATAACAAAGAAGCTGCATAAAAAAATTGTTTCACTTAATTTTAAGACATTATGGACAAGTTCTTTATGTTCACAAAAATATATTGCTTTGTTTCTTAATCAAATATTCCCCCAACATCGCATTTTGAGAAACTTGTATGGATATGAATACATAATGCAACATTGATATATTTACATATAGCAATATGGCACGTTATATATGCATCTTAAACACGAACTGGAGGAGATTTGCTACGTTTTTTACCATAAGTGCACATATTTGTGCTAAATGATGTATTTTGAAAAATAAATAAAATGACATTATTGGCATTGAATTACAATTATCTATGATATCACTTTGAAGTAATGAATAATATATTGATTAAGAATTAGCAAAAACATCTTAAGAAGTGCAGGACTAGCTAGAGCATTATCAACACTTAATACTCCCAACAATCACCACAAAATTTCAACAATATCAAAACTTAGTACAAACAAAAGTTTAAAGCCCCAAAAATGTTTAATTGTCGTTCAATTATTATACTTGCATTTAATAATCGAAAATACAAACAAAGTCATGTAAAAAACAACAAACGAAAGGGACGAGCAAGTGACCAAAGAAGGTTGCATCCTACACAACATTGGACACAACCCCATTAGACGTATCCGTATTGCATAACACTGCACACAACCCGTTAGTTTTGAATGTAGAGTTGAAATTAAAGTTCGAGTTTGATGAAACAGTAGAAGTAAGTTTTTCTAATAATCTTTAGCTACCTATAAGTTGCAATTTTTTAATTTTGGGAAAAAAAATCTTTCTACGTTTATTCAATTTTCAATTCAAAATGAGGTCACGGGCACACCCAAATTGTCCAATAATCATAAAAGAACATCTTGCATTGTCCCTTGGATATTTACAAACACTCATATTATGCACCCTAATATCCGATCAAACGTTGCTATATTTCAACAGGTCATTGTGAATATCAATGGCTTTAAATACGATACTGTAGAGATAAGAAACATACTCTGACAGACTAATAATCCCACCTTCTCAAAAATTTCAATTACCAAGGATTTAAAAGCTAAAGCTAAGAGGGCTGAATCTTGGAACTTGTTGATAATTATAGACAAAATTTCTTGTTAGGTCTCCACAACCATTGAAAAGATCAAGAATCTGAACAATCCTTGTCAGGGCTCTCACATGACATCAGTACTTATTAAAACGAAGAACTGAACAGGAATAAGAACAATGCTACGTGTACATAATCGTTTACACACTGCCGTGTAAGACCGTGTATACCCCTTTGAGGTGTATACATAGCATTATTCATAGAATAAAACAAATTTTTTATTTCATTTTTACGTAATAGTGTCAAGAGCAAGTGCATATCAAGAAGCATGTAAAACAATAAGATGGGTTCAATAATAAACAATATGATGGGTTCAATAATAACGGGAATAAAAAAAGAAAAAACTAAATTCTTGTGCATTTTGTATTGGCAATCATCTTGTTATAAAGAAGCTGGAAAAAACTTTACCTAGAAACTGATATGGCAAACATGGATAGTTTTAAACCTCTTTAATAGTTAATGAGTAGATAAAAATTGGCAAATTCCTAAATCCGTCTACGATAAGAATTTGCACCAGTATCAACTTTCAAACACTTAACATGCTAGAAAACTATGAAATGTCATATGAAGAGTTAAAACATGGAAACTCTAAAATGCAGTTGTAATCAATAGAATTAGACTTCACCTGGAGAATTATAGTTAACAGAAGTCAAGGAAGAATTCGTAGTTGAAGATAAGGTTTCTTTGCAGAGATCACGAAGCTGAGATTCAATGTTGCTCAAGAAATTTGTGGCTTCATCAAATGGCTTTGATATTTCCTCCGTGTATTTGTGTAAAACCTCACAATAGGATTCCTCCAAAATCATACACAAAAAAGGGTTAAACTCAGTATAATATGAAGAACAACCTAAACCTCATTTCTGATATATCAGAAGTCCACTAAATGAATCTTTTTTCACCTTCCTGTTCAACTCAATTCAATGTAAACTAGATATAATACACGTTATGAAGATTTTACCATAAATTTATCAAGTTCAGGATCAGTTCCAATTTGAGAGGAGGCATAAATAGGGTTGGTTTCTGTGCTGATCTCTTCAAGAAGTGAAACCGTTTCTGGTGGTGCTCCCACCTACTAACAGTGAAAAAACTATGTCAAAAAACATTCTTACGCTACCGGCACACGGAGACAAATAGAAAACATTTATGTGGGCCTTTATGAAGAACAGTGAAGAAAAGCGTGTATGTTTGAAAATTATTCACAAACAGTTATATTAAACAGTGTTACCTTTCGACACTTGATGTAGGCAGATACTAAATTAGGATAAAGAGGATGATTAGCAATCTGGGCCTTGATTATATCTGAAATTTCTGATCCAGTGATCTCATGGTGAGCATGAGCTTGTTGTATTAAACCCAGATGATAACTGTGATGATCACTAAACCCTTCAATACTATTATCAATAGGAAATGAAATCGAGGAATTAAGTCTGTATAATTCATCCATGACTAATGTTAATCGAGATATACAGATATTTAAGGGAATCCAACTATATATTTGATTAATACACCAAAGACAGTGACCACGAACACGATAGAAACAGTGATTTTTTAATACAAAAACCCACAGCAGTGCGTGTTTTTAGATAAACCCCCATGCTGAAAGATCAAGAATCAAGAATCAAGAACTCAGAACAGCGGAATCCAACTGAAAGTTGTATGTTGGGTTGTTAAGAAAAACAGGGCTCAACAGCCCAAGTAGGGCAAAAATCATAAAAAGTTGTAGCTAGTAAAAGAGAAAAGGAGAGAGAGAGAGAGAATTTTTCCACCGGAGTAAAAAGTTGAAAAAGACCATACGTGGGTTTCTGTAGTAAACACGAGTGGGGAAAGACGTAGAAAACACACACATACACACACAAAGATTGGGCTCCCAATTTTATTTTATTTTTCTGAAAAATAAATTTGTAATATTAATTTTTTGGAGCACGTAGAACAACCATTATAAAGAAAGAATTAGGAGAAAATTATATTTTGAATTGTAATTTTTGAAAAATGTTTGGTTAAAAAGTTAAAAAAAAAATATTTAAACTTTTGTACAGAATATTTTATTGTGTAAATGTGTGGTTAAAAAAATCGTGAAATAAATAATTTTGTTTTACAACTTGTTTGGGAGGGATTTTTATCTCAAAAAATTGATTTTTTGACTGTTATTTCACTATTTCAGCCGTAATTTTTGACTTCTTCTCTCATAGGTGAACCCCACTTTTCTTCCAACGATCAAAAAATCGATTCTCAAAATCCTTCCCAAACAGGGCCTTAATAAAAGTAAAATAGGAACTTTATTTATATAATTCAAAATAAGCCCCCGTTTGGTCACATTAAGCCCCTGGCTCCCTTTAAAATTCTTCAATTTAATTTGATTTTATCTCTTTCTTACTTCAACCACACATTTTTTAATAAAATAATATTACACTCAATTTGAAAACTTTTTAACCACACAATCTTTAAAAAAAAAAAAACTATTTTCATTATAAATTCAAATAATGAGGGTCAAACGGGGACTAAATTACGGTCCATTTGGTACACATTAATGTAAAAATGAAAATGAAAAATATAGTCGCTACGGACCCTACATAAAAGATAGAAAGTCAAATATAGTGATTTGATATGATAGATAACGGTCATATTTTTCATTTTAATAGGCAAATGATGGGAAACAAACAGGAGCTACATTTCATTATATTCCATTTTTCTCTCTCTTAGTTTCAAATCATACAATTTTCCATAAAATAATATTATATGTAAATTGAAAACTTTTTTTTTTCTTGTTTCAACCATCTATTTTTCTAAAAAAAAATAAAAATAAATTATTCTATCCATTAAAATTTGAAATAATGGGGCCAAACGGGGAAAATTCCATTATGTTGTCATTCCATTTTGTACAACCTTATTTTGTTCAATACTAGAATTTTTTTTTTATACTTGCTCTTAAATACCTTGGCCATCACTCAATTCAAGCAAACCAATAAATCAATTCCATTATCAAATCATAAGCTTGTACATTGTTATGTGTTTTAGGAGCACTTTTGGTAGGTGTATTGAATTAGTTAGGATTGTTTAACAAAATTTTTGATAAAAATTATAACAGATTTTGATAAAAGTTTGCGAAATAATGTTTAAAAAATCGATAAAAATTGTATCTCTCATAAAGTATATAGTTAAAATTGGAGTTTGACCAATTGAAAAGTTGATAAATTTTAACAAAATTTTATCAAAAGAACACTTGATGAAAAAAGTTAAAACTACGTAAAATTGCACCGTCTAATTCTATTCAATATCGTGCATCGCACATGTCATGGCTAGACTTTTCGTGCACTCATCGTGTGTATTCCACACTCCATTGCACGACTTCCTCATCCAATGCTTGATAGTGACTAAAGAGAGTAAGTATTTTAAGAGTTTCCTTGGTAGGCCCCCAAGACAAATGAAAGTATGAAATTTCTCATGCACTTTCATTGTCGTGGCTTTAGTAATAATTAATTTCCACAAGTCAAGGTCTACTTAATAAATGAGGTATCAATTCATCTATATTAGTGATCACTTGTTTGAATTTTATTGCGATAAATTTCCATGACAAGGGAGGGATAAGACTAGGAGCGCTAAGATGTGCAAGTTTAAGTTGAATTTTCTAAGTTTAAAGTGACATAATTATTTATTTATTTATTTATTTATTTTATGACAGGGGAACTCGCAGCCGCTACCCTTTGGATGCATACTGGATAAACTCTGTGACTGACGCAATAGCCTACAAACCACGCCAGCCAGATAAACCTAAGGATGTCAAACGGGCCGAGCGGCTCGTCGACTTGGCCGCTCGGCTCGTCAAAATCTAGCTCCTGGGCCGCTCGGGCTCGTCAAATAATGAACCCGAGTCCAAGCCAAGCAGGGGCTCAATCCCACGAGCCAAGCCTGCTTGGCTTGTCGAGCCCACGAGCGGCTCGTGAGCACATGGCCCAC